CAGCTGAGTTCTTATGATATATTTCTGCGGCCCGCAAGATGCTCACATGTGCATCTGCCCCGTTGTGTCTGGAAATGCTGTTTCCTTGAAGTCTCCCACCACCTCTGGCTCTTACAGTCTTCCCTCCACCCCCCTGCCCCTTCTGAGCCTTAAAAGAGGGATATGATCCTACCCAGGGCTGAGCACTCCAAAGTCCCCCCATCTCCGCTAGCTCTCCAGTTGTGGGTCTCTGTGTTAATTACCACCTACTGCAAGAAGACTTTCTCAGATACATCTCAAAGGCAAGTCATTCTTGTAGCTTTCAGGCCAACTTATTTAAAATTGTAAATTATTTCTAGAATTTTCCATCTAATGCCTTTGAACCATTTGACCTCAAGAAACCAAATGTGTAGACAACAAAACCACAGAGAGGGAATGACTGTCTGCATAGATGGGGCAATTTGTGTTTGAATTTGTTAAAATCTTTTTATTTTGAAACAATTTCAGGCTTAAAGAAAAGTCCCAGATGGAGCACAAAAAATTCTTGCATGTCCTTCACGGTCCATCCATACATGTACACATGTGTCACCTCCTTTGTCTTCCTGGTCATCCTTGGCTCCAGCTACCTACCAGTCTAGATGTCATGTATCCCCACACATAAAAATCTCAGAGAGAAGCTGGGCGGTGGTGGCGCACGCCTTTAATTCCCAGCACTCGGGAGGCAGAGCCAGGCGGATCTCTGTGAGTTCGAGGCCAGCCTGGGCTACCAAGTGAGTTCCAGGAAAGGCCAAAAGCTACACAGAGAAACCCTGTCTCGAAGAAAAAAAAAAAAACCTCAGAGAGAATGTCCCATCCAAACAGTCAGTGAGTATTTCATAAAATCAATGGTCTTTTATAGACAAGAACCACACTCAGACCTGGAAAAGAACATAGACACTGCACTACCATCCAAGCAACAAACCCCATTCAAATGCCTCCAGTCACCCGCTGCTCTTCTAGGCAAAGGGAGAGCACGCATGCGTAGACACACACACACACAGAGACAGAGACAGAGAGACACACACAGAGAGAGTCTGGGGCCTTGTATAGGACCACTGGACACATGAAGGTGTCTTTAGTCTACTTTAATGTGGAAGGTTCCCCAATCTTTCGTGGACTTTTTAGGGGTGGAGGGCTTTGACATTTTGAAGCACGCATCTTGCCTTACCATGTGTCTTTTTTGTTTTGTTTTGAGACAGGGTCTTACTATGTTACACTGACAATGTAATATCAACTCAATCCTCCTGCTTCAGCCTCTCGAGTGTGGGATTACAGACTGCATGTGACCCCCTCATCCGACCAGACTATCTTAGATAACAGCCCTCAATTGTGGTTTAATTAATGTTTTCTCAAGATTCCTGAGGCTCTGTATTCTGGGTTCCTGCTGCTGGGAGGCATATGATGCCCACCTGTCCAGCCACTGCTGATGTTGACTGGTTACTGAGGAGTTAAGGTCTGCCAGGTTTCTCCCTGTGCTCGCTCTGCAGTTACTGCATACCCTCTGGGCAGCTACTCTGTCACCATACACACATAGCCTGCCTCTTAGCACTCACTAGTTTTTGTCATTGATAATGAGTCTTCCCTGAGACAGTTCCAGCTATGGTGGGTGCCAGATGGTGACTTTCTAATTCACAATCGTTTCAATATTAATTAGCTGGCATTCCACCGTGAAAGGAGTGCTCCCTTCTCATTCATGCATTCACTCGAAACGACTCGTGGGTTTTTATATTATTCTGTGGTGTCATCTATTGCTAAATTGACTTTAATGTTTGATGGACTCTAATGCTCACACAGTCCCTAACATTGCCAGTGGGGACTCCGTCAACCTGGCCACTATGATTTGCGACAGCTCATCCTTCCTTGAGCATTTTTTTTTTTTTTTTTTTTTTTTACTTTCAACACAGGAATGTGTCCTAGGACCAGCCAAAAGTTAACAATCTCCCCTAAGAAGCCTTAATTTCTTCATTCCTTCTATTGGAAAAATATTTAGAAACTAGATCTAAGCTGGGTGTCGTGGTCCACAGCTGTAGTTCTAGTACCTGGGAGTTTTAAGCAAGAAGACGAGCAGTTCAAGGCCACCCTTGACTATATAACGAGTTTGAGGCCAGCCTAGACCACATGAACCTTTGTCTTAGAACAAACAACAAACACGCATGCATACACACACACACACACACACACACACACACACACACACACACACACACACACGTTAAACAAACAATAAAAATAGAAAATATGTGAGATCATTTTTTGTTTACAATCCATTTGAGATTTTTGTCTCTGATTTTATGTGATTTAATTTTGAAAATGTAATTTTGAAACATTGCTCTAAATGTCAAAGCTACATAAGCATCTACTTAGAGGAGTGCTGCCCTGGACACACATGCCTTCTACCCTGTTTCTAGCCCCGGTCCTTCACACCCTATTCCCAGCCACCACCATGACCACCATCACATTAGTTTCTCCCTCAGTCTTCTTAGTTTGTTTTTTCTCCCCATTCTCTTCTATATAAGATCTTGCTGCATAGCTCAAACTGGCTTCAAACTCACAATCCTCCTGCCTCACCCTCTCGGGTGCTGGGATTACAATTAGGAGCCTCCACCTCCAGCTTTAGACTTCTTTGTTTCGTTTTGGTTGTGTAGAAATGAACACCACACATCCCCCTTCATTTTTACCAAAAGATATTTGCAGGACACACTTCTTTTTCTTTTAACTTAACAGGACACACTGCTCCTCCCTCCGTATCAGTCACAGATGTGGCTTGCTGGTGTTCACAGCTGTACAGCCAGCCCCTGCATGGATGTCTCTGACTACTCTGATGTTCAAGCATGTAGTTCACCTACAACATTTTTTTACTCAGAATCAATACTACAAGGGATTACTTTGTGCATGAATATTTTTCTTTTCTTTTTTTTTTTAAATATTTTTATTTTATGTGCATTGGTGTTTTCAGGTCCCCTGGAAATGGAATTACAGACAGTTGTGAGCTGCCATGTAGGTGTTGGGAACTGAACCTGGGTCCTCTGGAAGATCAGTCAGTGTTCTTAACCACTGAGCCACATCTCCAGGCCCGAATATTTTCTTACTCTTTTTCCTTTACATTTGTTCTTATATCTCACGTATGTCTGCTGCATCTAGTATTTTTGTGTGTGCGCACATGTGTGGATGGGTCATAGGACAACTTTTAGAAATCAGTTCTCTCCTTCCACTGTGTAGCTTCCTGGAAACAAACTGAAGTTGTCAGCTTGGCAGCAAATGCCTTTACCCTCTGAGCTGTCTTGGCAGTCCAAATTCATAATTTTGGAGGTAAATTTCTAGAGGTGGAATTCTTGGCACAAAGAGAAAATGCACTATTTTTAGATCTTGCCAATTAGCCCACCGGGAAGCTGGCACCAGTTTGAAACCCTGTCGCGGATGTGTGAGATGACCTGTTTCCCACATCCCTGCCCAAAGAATGTGCTGTGTACTATTTGTCGTTCACCAACTTGAGTGGAAAGTTACCTCTGTGCACCTTCAGCCGGCGCCCCACAGGGAATGGAGTCACATGCTTTTCCATGCATCTGAGGCTACTCTGTCTTTGGCTGCTCTGCAGGAGACTCCAGGAGCCTACAGCACACACACAGGATCCTCCTCCTCCTATGTGACCTTGCTACAGTGGGAGAGACAGGCCATCCAGAGGCACCGACACTGAGGATGTGGTAAAGGGATTTGAGAAAGTCTCTTTTGGGACAGTCCAGACAGGGAGGGAACTGAGGCCACCTGGGTAGCTGTCAGACTTATGAAGAGTATCCAGCCTGTCACGTGGCCCAGCCCACTGTCTAGGGAGGGGAGCAGATGACCGGGAGGAGGTGTGGGACAGGTGGTGGTAGTAGCTGTCGGAATGAAGGCTAAACAGCGTTGGTGGAAATCAAAGATAAACGTTCATCCCTCTCACTGTCTACACAGTGCAACCAGATGATGCTGGCTATTTTGAGAAGGTTCCCAGAATGGTGCTTGATGCATATCACGATCTCTCGAGGCAAGCTGGGGACGAGGCTTCAGAGTTTCCGCCACTCTCCCTAGCAGACACTCTTGACATGTGCTCAAGCCTCCCCTCTGTGAGCTGCATGCTGAAGTCACAGTAGACAAACACACATCTGTCTCTCATCCTCTCCCAGTATGAAAGCGCTGTGGCTGGACACCATTCCAGCCTGAGGAACGGGGCCCTCCAAATCCAAATCTCTGGGGCTCGCTGGCTATGAGTAGCCCCAGTTTCTGCCTATATGCTGTATTTTCCATGTTTGTTGGGTACAGTTCTCTAACACAAGCCTGTAGGTACCTGAGGGGTCTCTCTTGATCTCCAGACACCGTGCGGTATCCTTGTTTTTGATGGATTTTCCCTAGATGGAAGAGACAAAGGCAAGGTGTTTATGTGTCTTCCTAGGCAGCACACCTCCTTGCTCAGCTGGGCGCTCAGATTTACACTGCAGAGCTCCTCAGTCCTCTCTCGGAGGAGTCAGAGAAGCAAAGAGTAGAGTTAGCCTGCCTACAGCTGTGTGTACAAGCTTCGAAGCGATGGCGTCTTACAGGGGTAAAAGGGCAGCCCTGCACTCCGCTGGGCATCATGGCTGCACCCTGCAGGGCATCCCTTTGCCACTTGCCCTTCTTTGAACTCCTCCACCCTGGAGCCCACCAAACCCCCCAGGACCACGCTTCCTTGTTGTCTCCCTCCATCTTCACAGAGGGAGGTATAGAGCAGAAACCACACAGGAACCTCAGCCCATTTACCTCACCCCTCTGAGTGGTACCCTCCCATCATGTCGTTGGGCCTTACAGCAGAACTGAGGCAGAGTCCTCACTTCCCAGAGACACACCACAGGACCATGGGCAACTTCCCTAACCTTTCTGAGTCTGATTTCCATGTCTCTAAAACTGGGCTTAGAAGTAATGTGAATTAAGGCTGGAATTGGGGTCACTGTTCCTTGAGTGTGCTATGCCAGATAGAAGAAAAATGTATGGTGGATCTAAGTCCACCTCTGTGTCCCCCCTCCCTGTCCTGTCTGTGAGGAAAGAAGGGAAGGGGGAGGGAAAGAGGGAGGGGGGAGGGAGGGAAGCTGGTCCTTCTTTTTCTCATGCAGTCTCTCTCACCCCACCCAGTTCCTTCCTTCTTGTGGCCACAGCTGAGCAATGAGGAACCTCGCAGTCTGCAGGCACGATCTGCTCCCTGGACCCCACCCTTTGCATTCCTCCTCTTCCCAAGGGAGTTCTCTCTTCCACACTCTCACATCCTGTGGGTGCCACCTCTGGCGCTCCTCAGCCACTGGTGCCCTCCACTCCTCCCACCGCCTCCAGAAGCCTCTCTGGGTCGTGTGCTGCCACCTTGACCTTCACCCGTCCTCCTCGGTTTACTCTGGACGCCAGGCTCTGCACAGGACTGTCCATGTGTATCAAGACCTGGCCTCTCCTGAAAGGTTCATTCTCAGTCACGGACACTGGCTCCCTTGTGCTGCTCAGAGGTCACAGCCTCCTCTGAAGGACTCAAGACTCATGAGAGTGAAAGTAAACAGAGGGACTGTCTAGCCAGATCTGCCTCTCAGTTCCTTGGAACTTTTTAGTAGAATAATTAGTAAGTGGGGCCTACAAAATAAATAAGGTATAGTAGAGACTGGGCATCCAATCAAATGCCATCTTTATATCTGAAAGTTTCTGCTCCTAGACCTAACGTGGATAGGAAAGGATTGGAGAGAAGGAACTGATGCAAATGAATTTGGCATTACGGAAAAAGCCAGGGGCCACCCAATCACCTTCCCCTTTAACTTGTAGAGTTCTTGTCAGAGAGGCCATATAAACAGACCTGGCCTCAGCCTCAGAGTGGCAGACAGAATGTCATGTTGTCCTGCAGGCCAGGCCTCCCACTGAGATAAAAGTATCTCTTCTTTCATCAACCTCAATGAGTAGGTGACTCAATGGCTTATCTTCCCATTGTCTACCTGAACTGGTTTTGGAATCACCTAGGAGATACACTCTTGGGTGTTTCAAGTTAACTGAGGAAGGCAGACTCATGCTAAATTTGGATGGCACCATCCCATGAGCTGGGATCTGAGGCTGGATAAATAGGAAAAAAAGGGAGAGAGCAGCACTCACCAGCTTCCTGCATTAGCATGTCTTCTCATGGAGGACTGTGTCCCCTCCAATCATGAGTCAAAACATACCCTTCCTGCCTTAACTTGCATTTGTCAAACATTTTGTCAAGAAAAGTCACTAATACAGCCATCTTCCAAATTTCTCTTGGGAAGACCACTTTCCAAATGTTTGAATAATTATTTCCTTAGAATAAACAGTATCTTTAATTCCAGGAGGTTTGCCATAAAATATGGCATTAAGGAAACCAAACACATTCCCAAAGATTCTGTATCTATTTGTTACCAGGAGGAATTGTGCTATGTTTAAGACAAGTCAACACCTTTACTAATTAACATTGTGATGTCAATTTTAAGATGTGTCATCAAATAATTGAATTTGTGACTTCATGTTGAGATTGTACTTTGTAAACACTTAGGAAATTAAGGATCATTAAATTTAAAGTTAAATACTGGGAGTGATTTATGAACATAGTCTTCAGTGGGTAAGGAAATTCAATTTATTAAACCATAAAAAGACCTGATACAATTAATGGTTCAGCATTGTTAGGCTTGTACATGAAGTAATAAGTCCATTAAGATTTAAAATCCCATCGGTACACTCAACTTGCCACATGCTGGGCCTGGTGACTGCCATTGACTAGAAAAGCCATGACAGTCCAAGGCAGCCTGCTCTTGCAGGGCAGTCAAAACTACTAGCCTGGTAGGAAGTCCTTCCCTGCTCCTGTGTCCCACCCTTGGTCTCAAAACCATTTCCCCAGCCACTCCTCCATATCACTAGGGTCTGGAATGCCCCTCAAGGACCTGTGTGTTAAGGCCTTGTTCCTCAGCGTGGCACTATTGGGAGGTAGTGGAAACTACATATAGATCTTCAGTTTTTGGGACATGACCTCAAAGGGGGTTATGAGGGCCCAAGCCCTTCCTCTTTCTCTGCTGCTCCTTGGTTCATGATCTGAGTGTGTTTTAATTTACCATGTGCTCCCACCATGATGTGCTGATTCACTCCAGGCCTCAAACCATGAGGACAATTGATGGGAACTAGACTGTACCAACATAGGAACAGATTATCTCAGGGACTTGTCATAGTGATGGAGGCTTGATAAGACTCTTCCACTTAGGGAAGGTAGCATAACCCTGTCTCCTAGTTCACCTCTCCAAGCTGATACCCCAAGTGGGACAATCTTGCACTTGGTCCTCAACCACTTGTCAGATGCCTGCCATGTTCCAGATGTTGTCACCACAGAATGACAGACAACAGAAAAAACCTACCCATACAGGCCATAGCTCTGTGAGGCCAGGCATGGTAGAGCACACCTGTAATCCCAGCACTCTGGAGGCTGAGGTTTGTAAGTCCACTTCCACAGAGTGAAATTCTGTCTCAGAAAAGCAAAGTTCAAGTAAACATTATCCTAAGAGACAATGAGACAAGGATTAAGGGAACCCTAAAAGGGGCTGGAGAGATGGCTCAGAGGTTAAGAGCGCTGGCTCCTTTTCCAGAGGTCTTGAGTTCAATTCCCAGCATCCACGTGATAGCTCATAACCACCTACAATGAGATCTGGTGCCCTCTTCTGGCCTGTATGCTACATGCAGGTAGAGCACTGTATACATAATAAAATAAATAAATCTTTTTTTTTTTTTTTAAAAAAAAAAAAGGAACCCTAAGAAAGTACAGAAGTACTAACCTACTCTTATGGGTCATGGAAGGCTCCCTCAAGGAAAAACTGCCTGGACCCTGAGGAACGCTTTCTGGTCCTGGTGAGGAGAGAGTGGGGGAATGATGCCCACATAGGGCTTATGAGAGTCAGGCCACTCACTGTCGTTAGGGCTGAGAGTGTTCCTCTTCACCACCCTCCTTTTTTTCTCCACACCTCCTCCTTCCCCTCCTCTCCCTCCTCCTCATAATCAACATTGTATAGTTCAGGGAGACTGCAAAACCTCTGAACTTATTTTGCACATATTTTTCCCTGAAGGGATCTCCATAGCTAACAGAAAATTCTTAAAAACAAAACAAAGCCAGTCATGTTTGGTTCTAGCCTAGGGCTCTGGGCCATCCAGCTTCTGGGTCCTGGTGCTCCGGGCAGTGTCGGGGGTGGGCTCACTCTCATGGCATGGGCCTCAGGCTTTGAGATACCATAATCTCTGTATCATCCGACCCCAGCACATCTCATAGGCAGGACAGACTCAAACATGACTGGAGAAAAAGTGGCAATGTAATGATGCCTAATGGTACTCTGCTAGACTCATAGATTGGTGCCTAGCCTAATAGTGATCAGAGAGGCTTCATCCAGCAATTGATAGAAACAAATGCAGAGACCCACAGTCAAACATTAGGTTGAGCCTAGGGAATCCTGCTGAAGAGGAGGAGGAAGGATTGTAGGAGCCAGAGGGGTCAAGGACATCACAAGGAAACACACAGAACAAACTAACCTGGGCTCATAGGAGCTCACAGAGACCAAACAGACAATCAGGAAGCCTGCACGGGACTGACCTAGGCCCTTTGCATACATGTGATGGATGTGTAGCTTGGTCTTTTGTGGGATTCCTAACACTGGGAGCAGGAGCTGTCACTGACTCTTTTGCTGGGTTTTGGGACCCTATTCCTCATACTGGGTTGTCTTGCCCAGCCTTAATACAAGGGAAAGTGCTTAGTCTTACTGCAACTTGATACACCATGTTAGGTTGATATCCATGGGAGATCTGCCCTTTTCTGAATAGAAACAGAGGCGGAGTGGATGGGGTCAGGAGAGGAGGGTAGGGAGAGGGACTGGGAGGAGAGGAGGGAGGGGAAATGTCAGTCAGGATGTAAATAAATAAATACTAAAAATAAATAAATAAAACCACTTTGGCTTTAAGAAGTTATTTGTGGAGCTGGAGAGATGCTCAGCTGTTAAGAGCTCCCGCTGCTCTTTGCAGAAATCCAGAATTTGGTCCCCAGCACCTCTATTGGGCAGTTCACAACCACTTGGACCTTTAGCTCCAGATGAGCTGAAATGTACTAATAAATTAAAATAAAATAAATGTAAATAAATAAGTTTTTAAAAAGTTATTTGCTAGCTGGGCATGGAGGTTCATGCACATAACTCCAGCTCTCAGGACACTGAGTCAAAAGGATCTTGAGTTCTGGGCTAGCCTGGGCTACAGAGTAAGAATGTCTAAATAAAGAAAAAATGTCCATGTTTTTCAAAATGTAGCTCCTGAGCCTGATGGAGTAGGCAGGTGTTCAGAGACATGATCACAGGCAAGTTGGCATCTTTCCCCCACAGGACATCAGACATCATGGTCCTGCCCAAGTGGCCTAAGACACAAGCCTTTGAAGCATCCTGCACATAGAGAAACTTCACACATGGACTGTGGCCAGTGAGGTTCCCGATGTTACTGTCACAGGCCTTCTGGCAAATTCTCTCCACCCTGTTCTGGTCATTCGATGCTGAAGTCAAAGGAGGAGCTTTGTTTGTTCTTTGAGGCAGGGTCTCAGGGTGTGGGCATAGAACTCACCATGTAGACCAAGCTGGCCTTGAGTTCTTGGTGATCCTCCTGCTTCTGCCTCCTGAGTGCTAGCATTGTAGGTGTGCACCCAACTGAAGGCAGGGCTTCTACATGTTTCCACCCAGTGCTCCCAAGTCTGATACTATTACTAATAAAATTAAAGGCAGTGACTCAAAGGTATCAAATGTTCCTGTTTGTTGGGCATGTGCTAAATGCTTGCCATATGCTATCTCACTTAATCCCATAAAGTAGATATTTACTGTCTCCACTTTATGTATAAGGGGAACGAGCTACAGAGAGGGTAGGGAACTTTCTAAAAGTAACGGGAGCAGGTTGAACCCATACTCTTTGGAACCATAGCAATCTGAAGTAGTTTTCTCTCTTAGTCACTCCTCTGTCAGGAGACCCAGCTTCATAGCCAGTGCCATTGATGCAAAACATTGTGTTGTCTTAAGGAAGTGCCGCTGCCCTGCAACCTGCGTGAAGTGCCACTCGGATGGATCAGAAATGATCAGCCACGAGTCAACAACACAGCAAGAAGATGGATCAGAAACTATCAGCCACAAGGCAACAACACACAGCAAGAAGATGGAGATGGTGGCACAACAAACCCTGAGGTGATTATTAGGGGTTTTGTTGGTGTGTGTGTGTGTGTGTGTGTGTGTGTGTGTGTGTGTGTGTGTCTGTCTGTCTGTCTGTCTGTCTGTCTGTCTGTCTGTGTGTGTGGTGTGTGTGTGTGTGTGGTTTTCTCCCTACATACTAGCATAGAAATCATTTCCGCAAAGCACTGTAGATTGCAGTCGCACCTGAGCCTTTCCTGCTGTGTCTAGATAACTGCCCTTTCAAACCCGAGCAACTCACCTGCTGAAAGTCCCAGTAGATGTACGCTCCTCTTTTCGCTGCCTCGGAGCACAGCTCTAATGTGGGCTTTTCTCCACGGCCAGAGTCTGTCAAGCAGTACTGCTCATTGACGTCTTCTCTTGCAATTAGTTCCCCCACATAGAATTCTCCAGAAAGGAGGTAGTACACGTTCTACAAAAGAGCAAGGACATCATGCTGGGCCCAGCGAGCAGGGAGGCCTCAGCCATTAAAATGTATGCTAGAAAACCTAGCTACAGAGAGGCCTGAGAACATTCTAAAAGTGCCTAGGACAGGATTTGAGCTCAAGCCCTCTGAAGCCACAACAGTCTTAAGTATTTTTCCTTCTCAACCACCCTTCTGTGTTCAGGAGACCCGACTTTACAGCCAATTCCAAGGTGGTAGTTTTCTCCCTAGACACTGCCATAGAAACTTCAGGAACTCGGGGAAGACATGAGGATGGTTGACCTAGGCATGGGGAGAGTATGAACATCCTGGGACATGGATCTCACTGCCTTTCTCAACAGCCCTGGCACATGCTAGCAAGAAGGGCAGACAGGGACATTCAGCCCACCCTCCTTCCCACGAGGGCTCTATGATGATCTATAACATATCCCCCAGAGGCTCATAGGTTGGATGGTTGGTGACCAGCTGGTGGATCCAATCACTGAGAGCTGACTGGCTCTTGGGCCTGCCAACCTAATCAGTGGATTCATCATCTCCTTGGTGGATTCCTAATTTGATGATATTGTTGCGGGGGGAGGACTAGTCAGAGTTGGCTACTAAGACCATGTTCTAAGGATTGTATCTTGTCCCTGATCTTTCCCCCACCCTTTCTATGCTTGTACCCCCGCTAGCAACTTCGATATGATGTTCTGCCTCACCAGAGGCCCACATCTTGGAGCCATGCAAGCATGGACTGGAACCATGAGCCAAAATAAATCTTTTGACCCTAAGTTGTTGATCACAGGTATTCTAGCAATGAATAGCTGATGAACATGGCTGGTATGGATGACGGATGGGACTTATCTTTGAAGAATGATCTCAACTGAAGTGAAGAAACTATCAATAGAAGCACAGGTGATGTTGGTCACCCAAGTGATGCTGATCCCAGGGAAGCAGCCTGCCTTCAAATTCCCAACCTGACATAGACCTTCAATCAGCTTGGATGAGTCTTTGTGGCTCTGGTTTCCAATAGTTTCTGTACCCCCTGAAAGTTCTCTGCAAGGACCATGTACAAAGTAAAAAGTTAACTGGCAATGTAGCTCATGGGTACAGTGCCTGACTGGCATGCAGGAAGCTCTGGGTGTGATCACTGGCACTGCATAACTGGTGGGCTGGCAAACACCTCTAGACCCAGCACTTGGAATGAGGTGGATGGCAGCAGGCAAACCAAGATTTGGGGGTGGCAAAGCTGGAGATGTGGCTCAGCAGTTAGGATCGCTGGATATTCTTGTAAAGGACCTCAATTCAGTTCCCAGCACCCACATGGTGGTTCATAACTATCTGTAACTCCAGTTACAGGGGATCCTATGCCCTCTTCTGACCTCTGTGGGCACTGGGCACCAGGCACTCACGCAATGCATCTACATGTATCTAGGCAAAACACTCATACACATAAAGTAAATATATTTTTAAATACATTTTTAAAAAGCAAAGTAAGATAGTATATGTCTGTAGTCTCAATAACAAAGTTCCCTAAAAACGCCCTCCACTTGGCGCCATCATATCTATCCCAACCAGCACAGGGATCCCCCTTTTCCCTCTCCTCTCCAGCCAGCTTCCTTCTGCAGGAGTATAGATGGGCTTGCTTGTTCAGTTTCCAAGGCACACATTAGAATGAATAGCAGAGCCACAAGTTTAGAGGATAAGAAGTGATGGGGGGAGGCTGCCAATAAAACTGTCACCCGGAGAATGAATGTCCTCCCCAGAGCCCTCCTGCCTGTTCTCCCTGCCCCTGTGGGCCTGCCTGTCACTACTGAACTTTTTGAAACGAACAGTACATGCTTACACATTACCCAGGATGCTCATCTCCTGCCTTCCCCATCCTCTAACAGTAAGGAAACGCTAACTTGTGGCACAGGTTCTCTGAGCCAGTACAGACCTACTACCTTGGCGGGGTGCCAGTGGGAGATACCTGTTCACTGAGCTCACGGCAAGGTTTCATTTTGGGAGAGTTGCCTGGAACAGGTCCTCGGTCCAGGCAAACACTTTCATCCAGTGAATTTTTCATCTAAAGGAGAAAACACAAGCACACCATTGGAGAGAATCATAGAAAGAAGACACCTCAGGTCCTGTATTTTTTGGTTTGGGTTTTGGTTATACCACGGGATGACAGAAAACACTGCCAGCAGAGGGCGATCTGCTCCTGCCCAGTTCAGAGGAGTGAAGTCAAACGCGGGATGAGGCGCTAAGGGGGTCAAGCAAAGGATGCAGAGGTGGAGGAGAAAAAGAAGAAGGTGTTGGGAAGAAGGAGAAGAAAGGAAGCCTCTCAGGAGCAAGAAGAAAGAGGAGCAGCTGAAGGGAGCTTGGGCAGGAAGGATTCAGGACAACTCCTTGACGGCTCTGGGTTCCTAGCCTTGTCTTTTTACAATGAAACAGTTCACATCTGAGCTGTAGATTTCCAACACATACTCTTCCATAGCAGATGATGTTGGGGATTGGCTTCAGGAGTGGGTAGATATTTTTCAGGTACCAGTCAAAGGATTTACATTTCAGTTTCTCCCGAAGTGCCTTTCTGGAAGAAATGTCTCCATAGTCGATTCCCGAATTCTGAAGAGAAAACATGGGTGGTATGTGTTCATTAGACTTCAAAGCACCCTTGACTCAAATCGGTTCCTGTGGATCGTGTGGGCACTGGCTCTTTCCTTAGACCTTAGAGATGACTTTGATCTCTTATATTCATAGAGGGAAAGCAGAAGCCTGGAGCCCTGGGCACCCTGGCTGGCTTTTTATCCTGACAGAGCTTGTGTGGGGGCCACTCAAGCTTATTTCTCATGACTGATTTCTCCCGTTTTGAGATGCCACTGGAATCAAAAGGATATAAAAGACAATGGCCAGAAAATGCTTAAACTAAACTTCTGGTACCAAAATTCGGACTGTGAGGGGAACTTTGTGGAAGTGGTGTTTGTGAGGAACCACTGTGAAGGAATACTAAGGGAGGCAGACAGAGAAGGAAATGCAGAAACTGTGTATCTCTCATCTTCCAGAATTCTTGTAAGGTCTGTTTCTGATGGTACTTTGTTCATTGGTTTAGGGAGCTCCCTTTATGGCTTCCTTTATGACACCACGACACTGCTAAGAGAGAACGCTAAGGATGATGGGCGGGGGAGGGGGGGCAGTGCTCATTTGCCCACCATGCCCACGGCTACCCTGAACACCAGAAGACTTTCTCTCCCAACAGGCAGCTAACTGCAGGAGCTGAAACTGCTGAAACCACTTTCATGACTTTGAACTCTGAAGGAGGTTCAGGAATTTCTGCTCATCCTTTTTATCTTCTCCTGATCTACTGGTTCCTGAGTCCCACCTTGCTCCTGATCTCTAGGCTTTTCCTTCTAGGCTAATTCCACAGCCTATCACTGCCCAGACTCCCCTGGTCTCTGGCGACTCCCTGAATGTACCCTGTGATGGAAGAGGAGTTTGCCAGTGAGGTGACTGGTCTCTGTGAGTCAAGCATGCCTCAACGAACAGGATCCAGAGGTCAGGGAGAGGAGACAGCAGAGCAGCCTGGGGAAAGCGGGCTCAGTTCAGAGCACCCCCATTCATGTGAGTCCAGCAACGCTACATACCCCCTCCATTTATCCATGCCGCCTGCCCTATCCACGCCCTCTTAAGAGAACGAATGCCTGGCCTGGATATGTTGCTCTGTTGGTTGAATGCTTGTCTAGAATGCATGAAGCCCTGGGTTCGATCCCCAGCACTGCATGAAACCAAGTATGGTAGCACATACTTATCATCCCAGCCCTTAGGAAGTGGAGGTGGGGGGTCAGAAACCCAGGGTCATCCTCAGCTACAGAGCAAGCCCAAAGCCATCCAGGGCTACATAAGTCCCTGCTGTAGAGGAGGATGGAGGACAAAAAGGTGCTGTGTTCGACCCTGCGTGGTATGAAATGAAGAACATGGAATCTGGAAGGCAGACATGTTTGAGTTTTGTCTCTGCTCCTCACTGTCTGCACCAGTGTTAGCTTCAATCATTTCCTTCCAACTCGCTTTGTGCCTGGGCTTCCTCATCCATAAAACTACCCTGTAGCTGCACTCTGATGGTTAGAGAATTCATCTATGAGCCAGTATGCTGGCTCAGACCTCTATTTCTCCACACTGAAGAAGCTGAGGCAGGATTGCCATGAGCTAGCTCTAAACCAGCCTGAGATACTGTGAAGATGCCATCTGGACAGTGTTACACCTATATACATACAACTGGGAACTGCTGTCACACTGGGGACCATACCTTAATCCACCGAGCCCAGGACGTTGTGTTTGTCCCACAGCTTCTCATCCCCCCCCCCATCACTGCTACCTCCTCTTCCTTCCTTTTCCCTTCTGTTGAATCCACAACCAACCTGGAGAGGAATGTTCCAGGCCAAGTAGACCATGTATTTGTGTTTGTCCATCCAGGTTTCAGCCACCCGCAGAGCATTCCGCCGCAAGGGAATATCTAGGTTCATGGCATAGGGCTTGTAGTATCTCCCTAGGTGAGCGATCCGGGAGCAGGGTAAGATCTCAATCTTCCCTCCACACTGCCACACCTGCAGGAGAGGGACAACACCACCTTCCCTCAATACCCTACAGCCAACGAACTGGCAAAGACCCTTCTTTCTTTTTTGGCTTTTTGAGACAGAGTTTCTCTGTGTAACAGCTCTGGCTGTCCTGAAATTCTCTTTGTAGACCAGGCTGGCCTTGACCTCACAGAGATCTTCCTGCCTCTGCTTCCCAAGTGCTGGGACTAAAGGTGTGCGCCATCACCGCCCAGCAAGACCCTCCCCTTTTGAGACAGTCTCACCCTATAGCTCAAGTTGGCCTACTCAGCCCAGACTGGCCTCACTGCAATCTTCCTGCCTGAGTTCCTTAAGTGCCGGGATTAGGAACATGAGCCACCACAATCAGCTTGGAAACCTTAATCTTCCCACTCCCACCACAAGGGCACCTCCCAAACTTCTTCTATAAATCGACCTAGCCAGTCAGACTGCTTCTCTTCTGGTGTCAAACGGCTCTGTCAATCCAACCTCCTTCCGGAAGTCCTCCTTAAAGGCTCAGAGAAGGGCCTGCCTCTGCTACTCAGAACAAGGAAGCCCAAGACACCTGAGGCACCTTGTCAGGAGCCACTCTCGTTAGCCAGCTTCCCATAATCCTTCTCTACTAGCATACCAGATACACATCCGAAGGATGGGCAGATGCTAGTAGTCTCCTTGGTCCTTCCTCCTGGGGTCAGCACCCTCCCCCAACCCTTTGTTCTTGAGTATGGGCCTGCCACCTTCCCAGGACAACAGGACGCTTTTGCATCTGTGTGTGGTTGTGTGATAAAAGACCGCGATGCCCATCTTGCTAGAAGACAGAATCTTTTTTTTTTTTTTTTTTTTTTTGGTTTTTTGAGACAGGGTTTCTCTGTGTAGCTTTGCGCCTTTCCTGGAACTCACTCTGTAGCCCAGGCTGGCCTGGAACTCACAGAGATCTGCCTGGTTCTGCCTCCAGAGTGCTGAGATTAAAGGCGTGTGCCACCACCGCCCGGCTAAGACAGAATCTTTTGTTAGCTTTGAAGAAGCAAGCCAATGTGGGATAAGCTACCAAACAGGGAGAGTCACATGACCAGAAACTAAGAGGGGCTTCCAAGTGCCAGTCAGGAAAAAACAAACAAGCAAACAAAAAACAAAACAAAGAAACAGCGAATGTTGCCTCCTTTGGTGTTGAACAGTATCAATGACCTGTGACCTTAAAGGCAAGTCCTTCCCCATTTCAACCTAAGTGAGAGCCTGCTCCTGACTGAATATTGGTCTCCATCCTTGCATAGACCCCTGATCACAGGCGCGATGAGCTTATAAGCACATCTGGCTAGGTGTGATGATGTGCACCTATAAGCTCAGCCCCCGGCAGACAGAAGCAGGAGTAGTGTATGTTCAAGAACACCCTGCCTGGTCTACTCAGCAAGCTGTAAGCCAGCCAAGGCCACATAATGAGACCCTGTCTAAAGGAGGAAAAATGAGAAGAGAAGGAAGGAAAGTGGGGGTGGGGAGGGGCAAAGGGAGGGGAGACACAGCGAAAGACCTTCAGGACGTCCTGGCTCAGGTCTGTGTAGACTGAAGTTTCTCCGTCCTGCCTGGCCCTGCCCAGGCAGCAGCTGTTTTTAGAAAATAATCACTCAATGGCCGTGGCATTACAGGTCTGCTGGCATGTGGCTCCTTGGGCAGCAGGCTGGCATCTCCCCTCAACTCTGCCCTTCTTTCTCCCTGTATTCAGTTTGGCTTTCCCACCTAGCTATATTCTGTCCTGCCATAGGCCCAAGCAGCTTTATTTATTAACCAATATTAGCAACACATATTCATAGCATACAGAAGACTAGAAAATTATAATTATAGTTCTCCTTAGTTATGATAAAAGGTAAATTAGATATAAAACTTTAGACTCATGAAGATAGGATAGATGATAGAATATTGTCTTTAATTTTGCTAAATACAAATAGACTAGATATTGTAACTGTAATTCTTGCTTGATAACTGTTTTGTTATATGCAATTTTACTATGTTAAAATGAAAACTTTCCTTGTTGATCAGACAGAAAAGGGGAAGTGCTGTGGGGTGGTCTTTCTGTATGCTGTGACGACGTGTTGTTACCATTGGTTAATAAAGAAGCTGCTCTGGCCCATGGCAAGACAGGCTATAGCCAGGAGGGAGAAGAAAGGCAGAGTTGAGCAGATGCCAGCCCCCTGCCCAAGGAGCAACATGCCAACAGACCTGTAACAACACAGCCAAATGGCAATACATAGATTAATAGACATGGGTTAATTTAGGATGAAAGAGCTAGCTAGCAAGAAGTCTGGGCCATAGACCAAACAGTTTTTATTAATATCAAGCTTCTGAGTGATTATTTTTTGAAAACGGATGCTGCCCGGGCAGGACCAGGTAGGACCGAGAAACTTCAGGCCACAGGTCTGTCATTCCAGTTACCACAGAGGCTGAGGGAAAATTGGAAATTCAAAGCTTATCTGAACTACAGGATCTATTCAAGGCCAGCCTGAGCAATTTAGTGGATCACATCTCAAGGCGGAAAGTAAGAGGAGGCCTGGGAATAGCTCAGTAGTAATGAGTCCTCAGTACTTAAGGAAAAAGGAAAGGATGTGTCTGGCTCTAAGACACCTGGCTTGAAATGATACATCACTAACTTGTGCAGGTCTTCTCCATATTCCCACGACTCGTGGTCTGAACCAACCTGACGGAGCACCAGCTCGCTCGCTGATCATATGTGCTGATATTTGGCTTTGAAAACATGAGTTTTATAAAGATTTATTTTCTTGTTTAAATGATATGTGTGTTCCTGGGGTGGTGGTGGTATGTGTATGTGATACAGATGCCCACAGGAGCTAGAAAAGGACATCAGACCCCCTGGAGATGGAGTTAAAAGTTGCTGTGAGCTGCCTGCCATGGGTGCAGGGAATCAAACTCTGGTTGTCTGTAAACACACCACATGCTCTTAACCACGGAGCCGTTTCTCCAACCCCCCAAAATATGGTTTTGGTGGCAGTGGATAAAAGAATTTTCTCATCCTACTGGGCCACTATTATATTTCCTGTGTCTTTTCTTCACGGTGACCTCAAGGGGTGGCAATTTCTGGCAAAATTCTGGCAAGTTGCTCCAATTTAGGTTGGCAACCTCCTGCACCCTTCCCTGACCCAAGAGCTGCTGGCCCGCACCCTGCCAATTCAGTTAATATAGCAGAAGTGATAGAAGACTAAGCCTGAGGATTCAGTCTTATTAAGTGATATTCAAAATTGGTGAATATCCTACCCCTTCAGCTCTCGACCCATGAAGGAATTTCCTTTCTGAACAGTCAGGCTTGGAGTCAGGCCGGCCTGTGTTCACATCCTGACTCCTCATCTGGCTGGTTAGACAAAACACCACCTTCCCTGAGCTTCAGCTTGCTCAGGCACAGAAAGAGGAGGCAGCCACCACCTGGGCTGTTGGGAGAACTCAAGGACATGCCAAGTGCAGCAGTGAGTACCTACTACATGGTGACAAAAGCGCATCTTTTCCTCCAAGTACTTCTTGGTCTCCCCTCATCAGCGCAGATCTTGTAGATGTCATATCCTAATCCAATTCGTTTCTGGTTTTGTTTTTCCCACTCAATCATTTCAAAATTCAAATCCAAATGCTGGAGCCTGGAAAAATGGCTCAGTGGTCTAGAGAACTGGTTCATATCCCAGATGTCCTGGGTTAGAGTCCAAGCACCACATGGCTCCAGGGGGATCTGATGCCCTCTTCTGGCCTCCAGAGGAACTGCAGACATGTGATGCACAGAACAGGCAAAACACCCACACGCATAAAATAATTTTAAAAAAAATTCAAACACAAGGTAAAATTTGTTAGATTATGCCTATAATCCCAGTACAGGGGAGGCTGAGGTAGGAGATTACCACAAGTTCAAGGCCAGTTTGGACAAAAAGTAAGACCCTGTTCAAAACAAAACAAAACAGAAAACTCAGCTTTTATTTCAGTTTTTACAGTTGATGGGATTTTCCAACTCATGTAAATTAGGAAATGAAAAAAATGTAACAGTTGGCACAAGAGCCTTTTATTCATATTAAAAATAAATATTGTTTATAAAATAATAAATTTTTTCAATTGTTCTTGCTGAACAATTTTAAACTTGGCTATTCCAATTTATCTATTTATTCGTTAGTTTATTTATTTTTAATTAAAATGTGTTTATAAGTGTTGTGTGTACACATATGTTTGTATAAATACATATGTATTTATTTTTAATTAAAATGTGTTTATAAGCGTTGTGTGTACACACACGTTTGCATAGATGTGCATACATGTGGAGATCCAAGGTGACCCTCCCTGGGAGTCTCTCCAGGGTCTCTCCCTGAGCCTGAGGCTCAGCCACTGAGTTAAGATGGCTAACCAGACCCCGGGCCACCACACAGCAATGAGTCTCGTTAAAGCAGGAAACAAAAACGTTTGTTGAAATCTCCTCCTTCAGAGTTTATAAACTTTCCCATGATTGTATAACAGACAGACAACGAGAGTGACAGACAGAGAGAGGGGAGGCAGGGAAATGAATAGATATAATAAAAGCCTTTTTTAAAAAGCCATCTTATTGAGCCAGGTGGTGGTGGTACATGCCTCTAATCCCAGCACTCGGCAGACAGAGTCAGGCAGATCTCTGAGTTCGAGGCCATCCCAGTCTACAGAGTGAGTTCCTGGACAGCCAGGGCTACACAGAAAAACCCTGTCTTGAGAAACAAAACAATCAAACAAGCAAAGCATTCTTATTTTAAAAAGCAGAATTCAACCTTAAAATTCCTGCTGGAGAGTCCGATTTGGGAAGCTCAGGCAGAGAAGGATGGCAACTTCAAAGCCAGCCTATGCAACTGGGAAAGACCTTGTCTCAAAACTAAAGGAGCTTGGGCTGTACTCAGTGGTAGAAGGCTTGTCCAACAAGTCTTTGGACTTGTCTCCCCTAAAGATGGTGTACCCCAGAAATTAAAAATTCCTGGAATCCTCTGGAGAAAAAGAAACATCTTCATAGCCTCAACTCTACCACTGACCACCAAAATTCTCAGATCACATGATACAGGCCTATACCAGAAAGTTCTGCCCCAGAGTCCCCTTGCCTACCACTTGCTCTTCAGTCTAGACACCTGGAAATGCAATAATCTGTCCATCTCTTGAGCAATCACTCAGCTGAGTTCTAGGATTCCAGAATTCCTATGACTTTCCAATAATCCCCCTCTGCTTCATCCCTTAGAGAAGAGAGCAAGTACATACCCTTAGGCTAAGCTCCACATTCTCTCCTCCATAGACCAGCATTCCACCATCCAGAGCTCCGATCTCTGTCAAGAAGATCCTGTTGGCGGCCAGGATACCCATGATGGAAGGACTTCTGCAAAGCACGGGGTAAGGAGGTTACTAATCCCCCTTCAAGAAACAGGCCAGCATAGAGGGGAGGCCTGGGAAGCCCCACAATGGCCTTCAGGATTCTGCCCAAGTCTTTGCTTATCCTGAAGGCTTTCTGAAATGATAAGGCTAGGCTGAAAGTGTGTTCACTGTACCATCACCACCCTTCACAAATGATACTGGAATGTCATCTTTCTTCATAGTCTGATAATGCTAGAAGTTGCCTCAAGTACTTTCTAAAAAGTTAAAAATTTGAGTTTTGTCTGAAAACCTAGATAATGCCAAAGGTCTATGATTTCTATTCTGGGCTCAGGCCTTTAGGTTTTTTATTATTGTTATCCCTCTTATGTTTCTCTTACCCCTTTTCTGCTCCTCCACCTCGCCTCCATTACAGTCATCAGAGACAGACAAGTCCCGCACAGTTCATTCTGATTAAGCTCTCTCAGCACACGCACGCACGCACGCTTACGTCATTGGAGCGGTGACATCATCCAGCTGACGCCAGGCTTGTGGTACATGATCATACCGGCACCACAGCTGCCAGTCAAACCCATCCACTGCCAGTTCCACCTTTTCCAGTTCGAAGGTGTTGAAATCAATGTTGTCGAACACAGGCGACAGGACCACCGTGGGGTCTTCCCGAATCCGCGACAGAATGGGCTCAGCCCTAGAAGAGAATACAGTCAGAGCAGACGTGTGGCTATGTGGGTCAGCAGTGGGCTGCAGCAGACCGACACTGTGAACCTTGCCCTCACATGGAAGGCATTTTTATTTCAGTTGGGTGGGAACTAAAAAGGACTTTCTAGTGTCTGGAGAATTTCCTAGGTTCTGGATAGCTGGGGCTCCTAGCAGCTGAGCCAGGCCAAGAGCAGATTTGAAATTGGTGTCCAGCTGTCACACCCAGGCCACTGTGAATGAGGACTGTAAGCATTCTATCTGAGTTTGCACGATTCCTGTTTCCAAATGGTGTCTGTCTCCTGTGCGATTGTCCACATTGTTCATATAATCTTTATTTCATGTCATTGAAGAGCTAGGAAAACAGGAGGAATTGCCAGTGCTTACATTCTACATTTTAAAGATAAATATACAAATGTCTAATTAAGTGGCTATTCAAAGTCACAAAATATTCAGCAAAGTCAGGGTCTGGCTGTCAATATTTTAAGCCCCCACCCCATATTTGATTACACTGTGAACCCCAAGACCATGTTAATAAAATCAACCTTGGCTCAGAGGGCAGAGCCAGCAACTAGTTGACAGGAATTAGCCATAGAGAGTCTGGAGGAGCCAGGAAGACAGATAGAGAGATGCACAGGAAGGAGGAGGGAGGGACTTGGAGTTTGGCAGTCTTTTTGGTTTGGGATGGCTGGAGAGATGCTTCTCTTGCTGGTTCTCCAGCAAAAAAAAAAAAAAAAAAGTTCAGCTGGTTTCTTCTCAGCCTCTCTGAGCTAGCAGGTTTTCACTCCAACATCTGACTCCCCAGCCTTTATTGGTAAATAGAACAATAGAGACTTAGTTAAAAACTATATTTGGTGGCAGTTGAGGATCACCGACTGTGGAGGTAGGGGATGGGGGTAATGAAGCTGGTAGTTAAAATATCAGTAGATTCAGGGGTAGTCACTCAGCTGATGGAAAAAACAACACACACACACACCTCTCTCATGCACACATGCAGTATGGCCCAGACTAGCCTTGATTTTGTGACCCTCCTGTCTCTATATCCCAATCATGAGATTATGGACATGCATCACACCAGGCTTACACTATTTCTCGTGTCCGACAAGACTCCCTGAATGAAAGCTTTACAACCTCCCTTTGTTCAAGGACTGGTGTCAGTATTTCCTGACTTGCCATATACAATAACTTAGTTCTGTCTTTTCCTGAAAGCAGCAGCCTTCCAGAACCTTACCATCCAACATTCACTTCAATGTGAGCATCCAAGATGGCAACCACATCAGCTGTAGCAGCTTCCAGGCCAGTGTTGCGGGCTTGAGCAAGACCTCTCCTCTTTGTGTGCCTTATAAGTTTCAGCAGGACTGGATAGCTCTGGTTGTATAGCATAATCGCCTCATCCAATCTTCTCTTCAGTTCTCCTACCAACCAGACACATAGAGACACTGCGTAAAAAAACGAATGTGATGCAGAAATTTTACATTGTCCTGTAATAGTGTGTGGGGGATGCCACTGAAAGGTGAGCAACTCCAGAGCCTTGACTGAGGATGTAGATAACGTTTGCCCAGCATTTTCCCTCCAGACAATTACCATTCCTCATTTCCTTTCCCTGCCCTTGATTCTCCCTGCTTAGGAGATGTGAAACACTGGTCAAAAGTATATCTTACATACCCAGAAACTCGTAGGCAAAGAAACAGGGCAGGTACTTAAAGTTGTAGCACTGGTGGAGAGTTTGCAGAGACAGCCTGGGGAACCACTACAGCTTAACTGCAAGGCTTTCTAGAGAACCCGAATAAGCAGCTTTGCTTTGTTTTAGACATCCCTGGCTGTTCTGATTACGTCACAATGGGTACAAATGCTCAGACTGATCTATGCCAGCATCTAGCTGAATCTAGCTGAGGAGTTTATTCTCAATATTATGCAAGCAAGACTCACTCTTCCCAGACTGTTTACAGTGGTTTTTTCCTTCCCCCATCCCCTCTCTTTTTATAAAGCCTGTCTCTGCCTTTGTTAACTCAGGCTACCAGTTGCCTTCTTTGCATATTTGAAAGCAGCTTCAGCTTTTATGCAAATCACTAAGTAGTATGCAAAATAGCTAATCAAATGACCCAGTTATCCACTGGTGACGTACGTTTTTTGGCTTGGTTGGTTTTTGAGACAATCTTACTCTGTAATCTAGACTAGCCTCAGACTCAAAGTAATCCTCCTTCCTTAGCCTCCTAAGGGCTGGTACTACAGGCATCACTGATAATATTAATTCACTTAATCATTTATAGAACCCTATGAATGATAGCACTAACATATTCCCACTGAACAGATGAAGGGAAACGTAGGCATGGGTAGAGAAGAAACTTTCCAAATCACACATCCATTTGGTGGCACAGCTGCGCTGTCTTTAACCACACACTGGCTCAAGAACCATGTGCACAGCTGCCCGATTTCATTAAGCTCCCCACCCCCACCACCAGCACCTCCTCTCTCCCTACATCCAAGGGATGGAATCCTTGTTGGTTCCTCTCTCAAAGGATGAATATATTTGTGTAGTCTCGGGTAGCCAGCTCCTAAAACCAACACTTACATGGCTATGGCACTAAAATCAGCCTGGTCTTAGTTTTCATTTATCTTTCTTTATTCGCCTGTTTGTTCTGTAGTGGGGTTGCACACACACCACCGCACACATGTGGAAGACAGGGAACATCCTACAAAACCAGTTCATTCCTTCTACTGGGGAATGAAGTCAGGTCATCCTGCCTGAAAGCAAGCCACTTGGTCTGCTGAGCCGTTTTGCAGGCCCTGACCCCATTTTGTAACATTCCTGCCATACGTGCACAGTGGCATGTGCATGCCCATACCCCCTCACATCATAACAATAAATAGGATAAGTTAACAAAAATGTAATTTGATTCCAGGCCCAAGAGAGACTGATGTGTCCCGTGATGGTGGCAGTTAGGATAACAGGAAGCTTTGTCTGGTTTTTCTTCATGAATCCGCCTTCTTCCTAAGTGATCTCGCTTGTACTCCCAGTGCTACTGTCCCACTACAGAGAGTCTTGAATTGAGTCTTATCTTCCCACCATGGAGCATGGAATTATTGAATTGTTGTGTTTGTGGGAAGAGGATGGATCTTTTGAGGTCTTCCTTCTCAACCTCTGCATCAGTTCCGCGAAGAAGCTGAATCCCAGAGATAGTGAGAGGTCTTGTCTAAGGTCACCTCAGACAGCAGCAAGTGGCTCCTGGCCTTCAGCTGTCCAGGTTACATATCTATATCTCCTTTTTCTTACCATCAGAACCAGACTACAAGTTGGTACCCATCTCCATGACCAGAAATGAATGAAACTAGTTCTGCTCTATCTAGTTCCAGAGAAATTCTGCTCTATCAATTTCATCTTCTCCCTTCTCATTGAATTAATTACACTGGTAAAATGGGGATGTGTGTAAATGAAGAGAAGTATTTTTTTCAGAGGCTGAGTTTTTCAGCCTCACCTCCTCTCTTTCTCTCCCTGAAATGACCTTCAGACTCGACAGTTCTTCTCATCTTTTTCATCCTTAGAGCCCAGCGAGAGAACAAATGTCTACTACTTCCCAAGTCCACACGGTTTGAAATCCTTCCTTATCATTAGCCCAAATCTCTGATTCTATAATTTAACCCTAGTTTCTTTTTATTCAATGTCCAAAAGTGGTAGAACTAAGAAAAAAATCATGTTAGCTATCCTTCTTAAGATGGTTCTAATAAACAACCACATTTTGCATACAAAGAAAGCGAATCATGGAGATGCTACAATTCTTAAAGGTCTATCTCTTAGGGGAGGGAGCCAGGGTTATCAATTTAGAAGGCAAAGACTCAGATGCACTGCAGTAACAAAATTGGAGAGAAAGGACAGCAAGGCAATCTAAGCTACACCTTCATGGTTGCCTAGGACGCAGGAAACCACAGACTCCATCCTCAGTATTTCATGAACTCAATATAGTGGTACATGTCTGTCATCCCAGAACTTTAGAGGGAAAACAGTGTAACCAAGGTCACCCTTGACTGTAGAGTAAGCTTTAGACCAGTCTGGGTTACATGAAGTCATGAAGAAGAAGGAGGAGGAGGAGGAAGAGGAAGAAGAAGAAGAAGAAGAAGAAGAAGAAGAAGAAGAAGAAGAAGAGGAGGAGGAGGAGGAGGAGGAGGAGGAG